AATTCGACGTTTAGAGAAAGAAATAATTCATATTTATCATTAGTATCATAATTACTGAAATGAATATTGAAAAATTTGAACGTAAAATTTCCATAAGTTTCATGAAAAATATCTATAAATAAATAAATAAATGTATATATATATATATATATATATATATATATATATATATATATATATATATTTGATATATGTATCTTTATTTCGTATATTTTCATTTTGTTTGAATTTATTATAATATTTGTTAGTGTATGTTTTTATATGTTAAAATATGTTAATTAATTAGGCAGGCAGAATTCTTATTAATTATTTTAAATATTTCTTTTCTATAAGGAAATATTATATATAGCATTTGTTGTTTTTTATTTTATTATAATTATTCTACAGGATAGTAATTAATATTTCATATGATATAAAATATATTTTTTCTTATATAAATATATATGTATATATATATTTTTATATAAATTGTTATAATTATTAAACGGGATAATAATTATTACGTCTATATTATAATTTAATCATTATAATATCTTCTTATATTTAAATAATTTTTAATAAAATATTTTTTTCTGCATGTATATTCCCTCCTTATATTATTTTCAATCACACAAAATAACAATAATTATTTTCCAAATAAATGTATTGAACAAATGAAAAATGGCAAAAAGAAAATAATAGAATTTGCAGATAATATGAATGTTTCAAATTTTAGCAAACTTTTTATTCATTGCGCTTGAATCAATTCTTTTTTATTTTTTTATTTTTTTTTTATTTTTATTCTTTTTTTTTTTTCTTTTTCTGTTCTTTCATAAACGTAAACGTAAATCTTGAAAAAGAAAAAAAAAAGATATTTCGAATTCGTCCCGAATCCAATCGTATTTCAAAACATATATATATATATATATATATATATATATATATATATTCGGCTAACAATGCGAATAAGAAGAAAATAAATTTATTTCGTTCACGGAAAATCTGTCTGTTCGTGTTCGATATATGCATTCGATAGTTATCGATAGGAAGAAAGGAATCAAAGAGATCGGTTATTCACAGTCAAACGAACAAACGAACGAACGATATCCATTATCCGTCGACGTTCTATCGTTTATCTTGTCTACTAATGGAAAATAAATGCTCCGTTATAACGCAATTCCTTCTCGAGAACTTTCTATGCTTTTTAGTTCTTTTTTCTATTTTCTGTCCATATAGAATGAATTAGATTCTATTAACTGTCCTACGTCAGTCAAGGATTGATTTAAAAAAGGTAGAAAAAATAAAAAAACAAAAAAACAGAAAAAAATAGAAAAATGAAAGAAAGAAAAAGATATGAAAATTCTAATATAAAGTGATTGTTCGATAAGTAATTATTTTATAATAATTATAAAAATAATTTGAACAATTTTTTTTTATATATTATAGATCTATGTTATTATAATATTATGTGGATGATATTATCGATATGTTATAATATGATATATAGATTAGAATATGATATATATATATATCATATTTATATTATATGACATTATAATAATTATATTTTATAATATAAAATATTTTACGTTATAAAAACATTATTATTATAATAAAGATATTACTATTTTTATATCGATGCCATTATCTTATAATATTATGAATATTATTATTAACTTATCTTTATAGTAATTATAATATCATTTGAACAATTCTTTTTCATATTATAATATTATGAACATTATTATAATTATCTTTTAATAAGAATAACCGTATAAAAATTTTTCTTTATTTAAAATAATTCATTTATTATTTTCGAATAAAATGATGCAACAATTTTTAATAATTGATTCATTGATCTTATTAATGTTTTTGTTTTTGTTCTGTCAATCTTCCAATATTTTTATTTACTTATTTATTTATTTATTTATTTATTTTTTTATAATAATCTATTTCATTAATGAACTGTCTTTGTTTTCAAAATATACTATTGATTATAATGTATACATTGTAGTTCTCTCTCTCTCTCTCTCTCTCTCTCTCTCTCTCTCTCTCTCTCTCTCTTTCCCTCTCTCTCTTTCTCTCTCTCTCTCTTTCCCTCTCCCTCCCTCTCTCTCTCATTATACGCCATCACATTAATTAAAGCTGTCTATAAGCTATAAATACATATCCGTTTGTTGCACGCATTCGTACATTGTGTATACATACATACGTATACACATATATATGTATAATACAAAGACAAATAGAAATGTATATACGATGTATGTGTGGATATCGTATGGATATGTGTGTATGTAGAAATATATATATGTACGATTATCAATAATCCATGAAACGCGTTATAACTATTTATGTATCAATGTATTTCACGAATATCTATTTTGACGTGAAATGGCTGGTGTTTAATTTTATTCAACATCGTGTGCTCCATAGCTGACCTATTTTCAGAATTGGTACTAACTTAAATAAACTAACGAATATGACTTCTTAAATCGGTAAAACCAATTTATAGGATTCGTCATTCGTAATGGAAATGTAGGGTATCGATATGTCGATATGAGATAGTTGCATTACCTTTCGATATATTACATTTTTATCTTCAAATTTCTTACAATTTTTTCTTTTCTTTTTTTGTTTTTTTTAAATTGAATTTTTTTATCTATGTACAGTCAGTTATAATTATATTGAAAAAAGAGGATATATTTTATTATACGAGTATAGAAAAAAATTATATATACATTTATTATCATTATTATTATTATTATTATTATGATTATTATTATTATAATGATGAGATTACTTTTTATTATCACAGATAAAAAATGATAAAATTATTCAATGTTTCTTACAATGAACAAATTCTTCTTTGTTTTTCTTTTTATTTATTTATTTATTTTTCTTTTTTTTTCTAATTGATAAAAAATAACCGAATTATTATGAATCTTTTATCATCGATAAAAAAATGATGAGAATATTATTCCTTATATCACTACTGATAAATCTTAAAAAATAATTATCGTAGATATTTTTCTTGGTAAATGGGAAAAGAAAAAAAAAACACGATTTATTTCCTTTGATAGAAAAAAAAAAAAAAAAAAAAAAAATCCAATAAAAAATCAATATAACTATCATATCTAAAATTAGATATAGATAAAATTATTGAGATCGATGATCGTTAAATTTTTTCTTCTTCTTTTTTTCTAATTTTTGCGAATGCATTTAATCCTCGATCCTTCGTGTTTTCGAACATTTAATAAGAATCAACGACTACAACGGAGCTCCTTTTACACGCTCCCTAGAAATCCCGCTCGTAAATCGTTAAAAGCGAAGGCGAGACCCATTCGCAATAACAATGAAATTCGTCCCTTCCGACTATTTTCTTCATCCTTTCTCTCCTCTCCACAAAAATGGAAGTGGAAACTCGAGAGAGAAAGAGATAGATAGATGGATAGATAAAGAGAGAGAGAGAGAGAGAGAGATAGTGGGAGTGAGTGTGTCCACACAATGGATCGAATTTAACGATCTAATTATTTCAAATTAGCTTGGTAATAAATACTTGCCGTATGAAAAGATCAAAGGTTAATATGGGCAAATTATTTTAAGCGATATTATTTTTATTTATATATGCTTATATATATATATATATAGACATATATAAATTAATATAAGATGATACAATATAAGAATAAAATTACACACACGTATATATATAAATATATATATATATATATATATATCTATTTATAATAAATATAAATATAAATAATTATAAATATATATATATATTTATTTATTATTGTTGCTCACCTATATATCTGTCTATATTAATATTCACATTTGTTCATATTTATATACTATATTTTTAGTTCGTATATATGTATACATAGATGTATACATATGTATTTTCACATATATACGTTCCTTCCATGATCTATAGAAAATTTACATATGTTTGTCTGTCTTCTTTATTATATATATATATATATATATACATATTTTTTTCACGTACTTACATATATCTATGTGCACTGTATATGTGTTCACATATGACTTTATATGAGTTTGTTCACCTACATAAGTTTCCGTTGTTTTGTTTTTTCTATCTGCAATTTTTTTTGTTTATTCACGTTTATTATGCACGTACGCGTCTCTCTCTCTCTCTCTCTCTCTTTGTATGTGTGTACATTCATGTGTGTATGTGTATGTATGTGTGTGTGTGTGTGTGTGTGTGTGTTTAGAACGATCGTAAACGTTGAAGCGAGTGTATTTTCTACGTATATATCGTCGTACGAATATCAAGTTTACATAGAAAGGAAGAAAGAGAAAGAGAGAGAGAGAGAGAGTAAGTGAGGTTGTCGTGGGCGGGACGAGGAAGGAGAACAATCCTCTGTAAGGAATAAGATACTGTATATCACAAATTGCGTTTACTTTGACATCGGTTTAACTGCAAAATAGATATCGTTATCGTCTTGGGAAAAGTCATTTCACGGATTACCATTTAATAATTTGAACTGGATCAACGTATTTAGTTTTTATACCATAACACACTTCTTAACATTATATAGCAGTCAGTTTTCATTAGATATGATTTCGATCGCAAATGATCGCTATTACTATATAAACATACAGAACGAAAAAAAGATATATATATATATATATATCTATATATATATTATATATATTATATATATTATATATATATAATATATATAATATATATATAGACTATATTATATATATATATATATATATATATATATATATATAATCGAATAAATAGAAACAATGTTATTTTTTTAGGAAAGAAGAAAAGGTAGAAACACGATTTGATTTATGAATAAATTTTTAAAAATTTTACTTACTTCAGCGCAGATTTTAGGTGGATCATTATAGTTCTCACATGTGATAGGATCGATTAAAAACATAAAAAAATAAACAAATAAAAAAAGAAAGGAAAGTAGAAAAGAAAAAAAAAATTATAATAACTCTCATAAATCGTAAAGATCACGAATAAAAAAGAAAACAAAAAAAGGCATGTTTACTTGCACTTTACAATCGAATTAATTAATAATAAACAATTTTCGATGAAATAATAATTGAAGAAATATATTACTATATAATCATATTTTATTATTTTTTATGTGCGCACGTGTGTGCATGTGTACGTCTGTGCATATGTGCGTATATGCATGTGCGATAAAGCACACGATATTCCATATCTTTAATTCCATATGGAATGTAAGATTACTAAATAAACGTTCGCTTAAGTTCTTAATAATCTTTGCAACATTCTAACATTCACTTGGTAAAACGCATTTTCCTTTTTTGTTTAATATATATCCTTGTTTGCATACACATTTTCTTATACATACCTACAAAATGAAAAAAAAAGAAAATATATATATATATATATATATATAATCGAATAAATGGAAACAATGTTATTTTTTTAGGAAAGAAGAAAAGGTAGAAAACGATTTGATTTACGAAGAAATTTTTAAAAATTTTACTTACATCAGCACAGATTTCAGGTGGATCATTATAGTTCTCACATGTGATAGGACATATGCTACCACAATCGGAATAAAAAGCGTTAGGTCCGCAATTGGCTGACGCGAAATCTATACCTGTGTACATACGAAAATTATATCGTGTAATTAATTGCACCGTCATTCCTTCTCCCCTAGCCTCCATAAAAGAAATTTTTTTTCTTTAATTCGGCCCCAGAAAAAATTAAAAACTCATTCTTGGAGTATATTTCGTGCGGTGATTTTTAGTTTTACATTATTAAATTTTAGTCTACGAAATACGAGGGGCGGGATGGGGAGCGAGGGACATAAAGATTTTGTACAAAGGTATGACAAAGAAGTTACGAGACAGTGTAGAAAAAAAAAAAAAAAAGAAAAAAATATTTTATCTTAAACAACAGTAAACTTAAATACTTGCAACGTAGACGCGATGTTAATCTGAATGAACGAACGAACGATTTCAGTGTGTATCGCCATTTTCGAAACTTAATTAATTGTCAAACTCTAAAACTGTACGATAACTACTATAACTACTATACGTGTAACACTACACGTATTGACTTGTACGTCAATACGTGTACTATTAATATGATTTAAGAGTTAAAAATATTGCCACACACTTATTTTTTTCTTTATTTTATTTTTTTCAGTGAGAAATCAATATTTTTTTTAATAATGACAGTATATTCTGTGCGAAAAAGAAAGAAGAAGAAAAAAGAAATTGAGAAACAAGAAACTAGTAATACACATTTTGAAACATTGTATTTCAAATATATTTAATTGTAAACTTACATGCGATAGATAGGGAAAGTAGAAAGATGATCGTTGAAAGGCGGTACATGACGATTTAGAACTATTATATTTAATTGATAAAATTTTTTTCAGAATTCTAACCTATCGGAAAGGTCGTTCGTCCGGTACTGTAGAATTTATGTTAGCAAACCCTACTTTTTATCTTTAGATATGTCTTATCATGTTTATTTTATAGGTAACCTGTTGTATAACGCTTATAAATGCGTTTTCGATATAAACAGGTTCATAAATTTAAACCATTATTTACTTACATACATGCATACATACATACATACATACATACATACATACATACATACATACATACATAATGCTAACTAAAGTTTTATATAACTTATTCCTAAGCATTCCTATATATTGGCATAAATATGAAGTGTCAATTTTTTTCTGTCCATTTATATCAAAGAAGAATAGAAATATGTCTTGTGTGTACCGATACTTCCTAGAATATATATATATATATATATATATATATATATATATACATATGTATATGTATATATATGTTTCTTTTTTAATGTGTCATCTTTCTTTTTCTTTTTTTTTCTTGCAGCTGCTTATAATAATTTTTTCAACAATATAAAAATTTTATGTTTTTTAATTTTTTGATTGTAAAATTGTCTATATCATACATATATCGCGTAATAAAAACTAAAATTTTATAAAATAAAAAAAAATCATAAAATGAAATAAAATTTATACATATATATATATATATATATATACACATATATATAAATATTATAATTTTAGACATATACATATATACATAGATATCATATAAATTATCTAATAAAAACATTAAAATTTCTTAATGAAAAAAAATCCATTGGACAAAATATAATTTCATAAAATAAAAATGGTAAATAATTTTATAATTTAAATAATAATATAAGCTACGATTTATTATAATGAACGTAAATATATTATTTCAATCTTTGATCTCTCAGATTTATTTATACATACATACACTTTTATATTTTTGTCCTACTTTCTATATAGTTCGATTTTATATTTAGAATTTATCTTGTAATACGAAAAAACTCTTGAATAAGTAGAGTTATAAATCTTTTATATCGTTTTGGTCGTTTTATTTATCTACGTCTGTCTCTCTCTCTCTCTCTCTCTCTCTCTCTCTCTCTCTCTCTCTCTCTCTCTCTTTTTATCCTTTATAAGTAATCTGTAAAGTTTCAAGAAAACGAAGGTATATAATTAACCCTTTGAGCAGTCAATTTTCCTATGACAAACTAACTTCTAAAACATTATAGAACTATGAACGACAAAAGGTCTCTATGTATATATATATATATATATATATATATATATATATATATATATATATATATATATAATGTAAACATAAAGTAAATGATCAAATGGTGTATTAAAATATTTGACAGTTAATCGATTGGTTTATTATTTTGACATACAATTTCTCTATATACTGTATATATTATATCATAATATCACTGTGTTATATACATATATATTTTTTTCTGAATTTATTTGATTAAAAGAGATAGAAGGTGGAGTAAAGCTAAAAACAAACAAACAAAAAAAATTAGAGAGAGAAAGAGAGTTTGAGTTAGAGTTAGATAAATAAATAAGATAAATAAAAACTATTTGGATCTGAAGAAAAATTTTTAATAGAAAAACATTTAAATATCTTTGCATACATACGTAGACGTTAATGTATCACGAGATATATCTCAAACGAACGATTTCTTACGATTGGTAAAGAGTAAGGGTAAAAAAAATATTACTAATAATTTTGAAAAACTTTGACGTCATTATGTCCTTCGGATAAGACTGTTCGTTAACAAACTTTGATCGATATTGACAAGCTGTCTTCGTTCTAAGTCAAAGCTCGTCGTAGCTCGATTAAACTTGGCAGCTGCGTGTACTCGAATGGAATTCTGAAACAAAGCTACTGACATGCAACGTGAGAGAGTCGGAGAGAGAGAGATAGATAGATAGATACATAGATAGATAGATAGATAGATAGATAGATAGAGAGAGAGAGAGAGAGAGAGAGAGAGAGAGAGAGTGAGTGAATGAGTGAATGAGTGAGTGTTTCTATGACACCCGTTACATTGCGTGCATCAAACGTTTGCATAGAGGGTTAATTTAATTTCCCGTCGGCACGCCCTAACGTATATACATACGTTCAGGATGTATACGTGCGTATATGTAAGGGGTGAGTCAAAAGTATTTAAATCGATTTTAAAAATCAATTATCATTTTTTTTCTCTTCTTTTTTTTTTTATTTCTTCCTTTTTTTTCTTGTTCCTTTTTTCTTTTCCGCAAAGGTTTTTTTTTTCTTTCTTTTTTTTTTTCTTTTAGACCGATTTAATATCAGGAAATTGATAGCTAAGCAAGACAAGCTAAAAGACTCGTAGTTTTTTTTTTCAGTAATCTAAAAGAAATATTAATTGTGAAAAAATTTAATTGAATAAATGAAAAGTTCGTGTAATTTGAATTTACAAAATCGTTGAAGAAAAATATTTGGACCACCCTGTTGTTTTGTATTGTGTGTTTGTGTGTGTGTGTGTGGATATATATATGTATATATCTATGTAGCTTTTAAAATAATTTGAATTAGAGAGGATGGAAAGGTTGATTTTTCAATTTCATTTTTTATTCAACGATATATTATCTCACATGAATCTAATCTTTTCTAATACTTTTCTTTGATATTTTCTAACATGTTATCGAAAGATACTTTCGTATTTTTTTCTTTTTTCTTTATACTCGCTTTCATTTCCGATGTACTTATAAATAAATATATATATATGTATATATATATATATATATATGCGTATATGTATGTACGTAGGTATATATTCATGTATAGATGTATATTATTTCAGTTTACACGTGGTCTCTCTTCGATCGTTATTTTTAAAGCACACGTAACATCGTCGTCGAAGTGTTTTAGCACTTCTATAATAATCGTAATATAATTTTATTATTAACGATCAAAGATATATTTTTATACTAGTAAATGTCATTGATATTTTAAAATCTGTTCTATCGCATTTTTTATAATTATCCTCGGGTTAAGACGGAAGGCATTGAATTTTTATAGAATTGAGATTTTCTGTTTTTTATCAATGGGATTTTATATAGGAAATTATTTGGATTAAAAATTATTTATTGATTATATTCGGGTAAAATTGATTATGCAATTTGTATTGTATTAATTCTTTTTTCTTCTGTTTTAATATTAAATTTTTTAAATTAATGTTACGTCTTTTTTTTGTTTTCTGTTTCTTTTTTTTCTTTTATGTATTTTGAAACTAATTAGTAGAATTGGCATATATATATATATATATATATATATATATATATATATATATATATGCCAAATTAAAGTGAAATTAATTATGTATAAGTATTATTATTTAATTTTTAGTGTTATTATTTATTTTCAATTGATTAATTTTCTAATTAATATTAGATTTGGTAACATATATTGTTTCTCTTCTTTTTTTATTTTTTATTTTAAAAATAAGTTTTTTAAAAATTCGCATTTCTGTATAAATCCAAATCAAATAAAATCGATTATTATATGATAATGACCTTACACGTATACACATATATACACATATGCATACACATACATACACACACACACACACACACAAATATTTTTGATATGTTTAATAAAAATTATTTTTTTATACACATAATTATAACATTTTAACAATAATATTTTTAAATAAGTAATCAAACACATTCTAATATTTTAGCCATAATCATAAATTACAAAATTTAAATAATAATTGACATTTTAAAACGATTATCATTTAAAGAAAATCTAACGCAGGTTAACAAAATATTTTCTTCTTTCTAAAACGATTAATTTTTCTAACATATTTTCTATTTACATGTATGTATATACAGAACCTGATTTGTAGAGTACCAATTTCGGTGATTAATGGAGGAGAATCGATCAGCTCCCGGTGAGCACAGCGGCTAATAATCGTTCAACGAGAGTTCTATGAAGTAGTTATCGGTGCCATAATCGATGCTCGACCCTCCATTAATCGACTCTCTAACTCTACGAATGATAAAACAGTATGGTTGAATATCATCCAAAAGTACTCACTTATGTACTTAGTAACCATAATATATATATATATATATATATATATATATATATATAAATTATTGCATTAGTAGTTGTTAAATTTATTCAACGTCGAATATATTCATCAAAACTAAAATAATTTCGTAATTTTTTAATTATTGGTATTAATTATATATCATATATGTATGTCATATTCATTTATATATCAACAATAAATACTAAAATTAATTATATATTACTGGTAGATAAATTTTTTTCCAATGTCAAAAAAGGAAAATAAATTAATTATAAAATTGTGTAAGAAGTTTTGAATTATCATATTTCACATATTAATTTATGTTATATTAAACGTATGAATTAATTATGTTCCAAATTGAATAAATTAGTTATAATACTTTTGTATATTGAAATGTTTCGTTATAACTTTTTAATAATCGTATCATATTTTTAATATTCACTTATATATACTAACCGAGTATTTACATGTATTGGCTATATCGCAAGGAATCTAAACAATCTAAACAATATTGCAAGTATTTAGATTGATTTTGAAACTTTAAACACATCAATGAATTTTGGATTTGTGTTGAAAATTCTAATAGAATAAGCCATATTACACATATTGTATTGATTCAAGTAAACAACTTGAATTATGTAATTATAAAACATGCATATGTGTATATTATATAATTCATATAAATATATGTTATACACACACATACACACACACATACACATACATGTATTATATAAATATAGTTAATAACAGAATATGTACTAACTTATATAACCATTTATCGATTATTATCTAATCTAACATATGATCAATCGCAAATCTTTTTTTTTTCATTAAGTATAATAATAATAATAATTTAATTAAATATAATTAAATCATAAATATGAAACTTTCAATCAAGTTTTTCACTATAGTGAAATTTTCTTCTTTTTCTTTTTTATTTATTTATTTTTTGTTTTCTATTTTTGTTATTTTTTTTTTTTTTTTATTGTTAAACTCGTTGAAGCGATAAAAAAATCAGATGTCAGATAGAT